GGCCAACCTACTGGCCCCCACCCCCAGGTCCCCAGTATGTGGGGCATGGGGGGGCCCCCAAGTAGCCCCTTGGAAGCTGGAATTCTGCCAGCCTGCAAGGGAAAATTCTCAGTTTTCCACGTTTTTCTCTTCTAAAAGAGAATCCATTTTTTAAGTTTGTTGATCAATTTTTAAAGTTTGTTTGCAACCCTTTTATATATTCTTGTGACCAACTTTTGGGTCGCAACCAACAGGTTGAGAAACACTGATCTAGGACAATCAGCAGCAACTGCTCTCTGAAGCCATAATGCTGCCTTGAGCACAGTGAAGGTCACTACAATCAGTAGTTCTCATCTAAAGAGGGGAAGGCTCAGAGGAGATAAGAGATTAAGAATGGTTAAGATACTGAGAGTAGCGCCTGGAAGGCCACTGGGAGAGGGGTGAGGCAAACATGGGGAGAAAGACAGACCCCAACATAAAATCCCACAGCAGTGAAGCCAAGTTCAAGTTTCTTCTTTCTCCACTATTTTGATTTCCTTCACAACCCTTATTATTGACCATGATCCATGCTTCTACCCTGGGCTAGACAGAACAGTTAATTCCTGGTAACTGTGAGTCTTCAAGAATTGACTCTGTGCATTCACAGTCGTGAGACAGCACTCCCTGGGGTGAGCTCACAAGATCCTCCTCTAAGCCCTGTCCACTGGAAGATGCCCAAGTACCTTTTAGCTGACAGCCATTTGGTGCACAAGGCTAAAGAAGGGATGCACTGCTACTCTTGCTGCTGCCAGCCCTTCTTGATGGTGCACCAAATTATGACCATCTACAGCCGGGGTGGCCAACCTACGGCAGGAGTGCTGCAAGTTGCATGGGCATCCTTTGGGTGGCCTGTGTTGGGGGAGGGGGGTCAGGCAGCACAGCAGTAGATGGAGCAGGGAGCAGAAAGCAGAGCAGGAGATCATACGGGGATCACAAGGCAGGGAGCTGGCTGAAGGCAGAGGAAGAGACTGGGAGCAAAGGGTAGGGAGCAGAGGGAAAAGCAGCAGATAGGGCAGGGAAAGGGGATCAGTGACACCCGGGGAGGGCACAGGGCTAATCTGCGGCATAAAAAAGGTTGGCCCCACGCTGCTCTACAGCGGTGGTTCTCCGGGCCTGCCCGTCCTACCCTGCAGCCAAGGGGCTGTGCCCGCTCGCCACCTGCGCCACACTGAACCGGCTCCATGCAGACAGGGAGCCCCTTCCCCGCCCAGCCCCAGCCCCAGGTGTCCCCAGCACCCCGCGCCCGCCTCGCAACCCGGCCCCATTTCATTTCAGCCAGTTTCTACCACAACTGTGATTTTCCCATGGATTGGGAGGCCCCAAAACTATATGTTGCAGCCCCCCCCAGGATAGCATGGTGCTTCTCAACCTTTTTTGTACCAGGCCCCATTTGTAAACATCAGTGGCCCTTCCCAACCCTCAGGCCCAGACCCCGGCGTGTCCCCAGATTTCGTTTCTCCAGGAGGAGGCGTATTTACAGCCGGCTCGGGACGGTTCCACGGGTCCCGCCGGGCCGGACCGCTACCTTGCCGTAGGCCGCCTCGGTCTCGGCGATGGTGCGCTCGAACTCGTTGCGCGTGGCCATCTTGCGGGCCAGCCCCTCGTTGAGGCGGGCCAGGCGCTCGGTCAGCAGCCGGATGTCACTCTGCAGCTTGGCCTTCTCCTCCTCCTCGCGCGCGATCTGCCGGCCCAGCTCGTCCCGCCGCGCGCACAGCTCCTCAATGCCTGCGCCACACGGGGGGCACGGCCCTCAGCGCCCGCGGCCCGAACCCGG